TGCATCCCAATGTCCATAAATGCTATACGTGCCTTGTTTGCGATCCCCAAATCAGCATTTTTACCGCTAAATGAACTACCAGTCAAAAGGCCTGCAACGTGGATACCATGACCACAAGTAATTGTCTCCGCTTCATCTGCTTTATTTGCCCACGCATTGTACATGACCACTTTTCGAGCCGACATCACCATACGAGAGAACACATCACGATCATCTTGATCAAACTGATCGTGATACAGATAAAGCCCAGTATCAGTTATCCCGACAACGACATCATTGCCACGAATTCCTGCCTCTCTTGCTGAGTCTACACCGACCAGACTAGGCGCGTAAGCATCAAGGCGGCGATGGCTCTGCATTTGCGTCCATCGTTCTTGCTCTTCGCCTCGTAAGAGATTCTGTGTAATTTCATGCCGTTCATCAATCCACTCGACCGAACTTGCAATGATAGCGAGTGCTAGCACCTTTGTCCATGTGATGAGATCCTTAAGCGGCTTTGTAAAAATCGACCTTGGCTGGTTTTCACTTGTTTCAAATATATTAAGCACGCCCAAGAGCTCGCGTGCTCGCTGCTTAAACGAAATCAAGACAGACTGGCGATCTGCCCCTTCCACCAATCTAATCTCCATAGCAGGCGCCGCCATTGAGACATTCTCCTGTCTCCTCATCCTATCACTTAAGTGTGCAGCACTCCGTGCAAATGGCATGAGCTTTAGAATTGGCGGCAAATCCAGCACAATATCTACGCATTTTAGCGCTCGAATCTTGTCAGTCATCAATTCATCAGCGTGTAGAAGCAAAACCGTATTTTCTCCCAAACTATCTCCTCTCCGTGTCAGCAACGATCCCTCATTTGTTTTATTTTTACATACTTGTCGTATTGCAATAATGCACTTTCTTTCTTGAATTGGCATGGTCAGTGACGACGGTGTTAATTTGATTACATACTATTAATCCCTGTTTCTTTTCGTACGAAGACATGTAGAACAGCGCTAAGGCTTGAGCGACTTGTTTGCGGTCGACACTAACACGCGAGGCCGCTAGTTGTAAACTTTTGCATTACCTTCTTGTATATATGCGCTAACCGGCATACATTAAGTCTATTAGATCACTAACCAGTTCCTAGTGGGGGCATATACAAGGCGCATACGTGTGGTGTGGTTTTCTGTAGTTACCAGTTTTATTAATTTAGGCTTCGATTCTATCGTCTCCTTCTGCTACAGGTCATCAGCGGTCAAGACCTTGACTATTTGGTAGATTATAAAGAGCACTCACTAGGTAAGACAATCCTACCGTAGACAGGAGGTTTTTTCGTAATCAAGATGAAATGGTTTACCGTGTTAGAGCAATTAATCAATTAATTCTTAGGAGGTCAAATAAACAGATGTTGTCACAACCAATGCAATAAAAAAGCACCATCAATATTAAGAACAACAAAAAAAAGACAAGAGCACCATAGTTAAAGTTATATTAGATAATTTTGGATTATTCGTACTACCAATAAACTCCTAGCAAAATTGGTAGCATGACGACGGTATAGTCATCACTTGTCTTTGTCAAATCAAAAATAGAAAAGAGACGTTCAGGAATTAGTCGACAAACATTCAACAAGTTGCAATATAAGGTAAAAGTAATATTAAATGAGTATAATCTGGTACCTATTCGTCGCTCTCGGACTATTTAAGCGCTACTTTGCTTCTTTACCTGATGCACAAGGACTTGAATTTGTAGACACTGCTGCAATCTGCGCCTTCCATTGTTCCTCCGGTCTCTTGTCACAATCAGAACAATGTTTACCGTCACTTTGTGGCCGCCAACGTGCATTAAGAATCGATGAGCAAGAGATTAATGTGCTTACATGTCACAATGTGGAGCAAAATGCATCAACACTTACATTCTCTTTCACACTGGCAAGAGAAGACAGTGCTGAGGTGTTTCAAGGCTTTCACGACACTTTTTTTCAGGCGTATAATTCTATGTTAATGGGCAACAGTATTACGACTGATGCCTGTCAATTAGCTTTTTTACAGGATAAATTAATACCAAGTGTGAAAGATGATGACTTGAAGGAGAAGGAGACGATGGAATTGAAGCCTAAATTAGTAAAATTAGTAACTACGAAAATGCCAATTCAAGAAAGAGAGTGCATTATTGCAATACGACAAGTATGTAAAAATAAAACAAATGAGGGATCGTTGCTGACACGGAGAGGAGATAGTTTGGGAGAAAATACGGTTTTGCTTCTACACGCTGATGAATTGATGACTGACAAGATTCGAGCGCTAAAATGCGTAGATATTGTGCTGGATTTGCCGCCAATTCTAAAGCTCATGCCATTTGCACGGAGTGCTGCACACTTAAGTGATAGGATGAGGAGACAGGAAAATGTCTCAATGGCGGCGCCTGCTATGGAGATTAGATTGGTGGAAGGGGCAGATCGCCAGTCTGTCTTGATTTCGTTTAAGCAGCGAGCACGCGAGCTCTTGGGCGTGCTTAATATATTTGAAACAAGTGAAAACCAGCCAAGGTCGATTTTTACAAAGCCGCTTAAGGATCTCATCACATGGACAAAGGTGCTAGCACTCGCTATCATTGCAAGTTCGGTCGAGTGGATTGATGAACGGCATGAAATTACACAGAATCTCTTACGAGGCGAAGAGCAAGAACGATGGACGCAAATGCAGAGCCATCGCCGCCTTGATGCTTACGCGCCTAGTCTGGTCGGTGTAGACTCAGCAAGAGAGGCAGGAATTCGTGGCAATGATGTCGTTGTCGGGATAACTGATACTGGGCTTTATCTGTATCACGATCAGTTTGATCAAGATGATCGTGATGTGTTCTCTCGTATGGTGATGTCGGCTCGAAAAGTGGTCATGTACAATGCGTGGGCAAATAAAGCAGATGAAGCGGAGACAATTACTTGTGGTCATGGTACCCACGTTGCAGGCCTTTTGGCTGGTAGTTCATTTAGCGGTAAAAATGCTGATTTGGGGATCGCGAACAAGGCACGTATAGCATTTATGGACATTGGGATGCAAAGTGAAACGTGTGCGGGTGAGTTAAACTGCGCTGTATCGTTGGCCACACCTGCCGATGCCAGTGATCTGCTGGTAAGTCAAATTGATGCAGGCGCTAAGATTTTCTCGTTTTCATGGGGTACGGCTGGATCGGATTATAGTTTGCAAGCCAGAGACTTGGACGCCTTTATTTACAAAAATCCGGATGTTCTTGTGGTTGCGGCGGCAGGCAATAGTGGCGAGTCGTCCATCACTGGTCAGCGCACCATATCGTCACCATCTGGCGCTAAAAATGTAATATCAGTCGGGGCATCACTCAACTCAGCGGCATCTTTCATGGACTACGCATGCCCCGATATTATGAACGAGCACACGGTAGCATCATTTTCATCTGCCGGGCCTACAACAGACGGGAGAATGAAACCTGATGTCGTAGCACCTGGGATGAGTCTTATATCAAGTCAATCGGAGGCCCCAGGAACAATGAGAGAAAGCTCGGCAACGTGTTTACTCCAGGGCACGTCACAGGCGACACCAGTGGTAACTGGTGTTGCTGTGCTTCTGTATGAGTGGCTTCGCGATGGGTGGTGGAAGGACGGACGCAAAAATGCTGCATACGCTATGAGTACGATTCCTGCTTCTTTGCTTAAGGCGTTACTTATTCACAGTGGAGATTCTTTGCATAAGCGGATGGGTGCGTTACCCACAAGCGGTTTTGTGTCATGTACAAGGTTAGCCTCGAATTCTATTGACGTGACGTTTCCAGACGTCTACCAAGGCTATGGCAAACCAAACCTTACTAACATTGTGGATTTTACTAGCTTGAGCGTGAACAATAGTGGCAATGGCAGCCGCAATGGACCACCATCATTGTATTTCTTGCCAAACTCGACAGAAAATAGCGAGCCAGCAGTCGCACACGGAGGTGAAATAGTGATTTCGTTTACGGTAGCTCGCGGTGTGGATTTGCGAGCGACTCTCGTGTGGACTGATCCGCCAGGGTCAGTTCAGGCAACGTCGCAATTGCAGCACGATCTGGACTTGGTTGTTCGCGTGCGCAATGGCACTGAAATGTTTGGTCCACTGACAGCTGACCCAAACACTGGAAGGGATTCGCTGAATAACGTTGAGATGGTGCAGGTTTCTTACGCTGATCTTCTCGCTGCTGCCACTGACAGCAACACAAGTAGCAGTGGCAGTGAAAATGGAACAAATAGCTTAGCACTTGGAAACAATGGAGAGATAGTGGTTGAAGCTGTTGTTTACGGCCGAAGTGTGCTGCTGGCGGACTATCAGAAGTTTGCGTTCGTAGCGTCTTCCAGCGTTATTGGATCCACGTCGGGAATAGCGGCTACAAATGATAGCAAGTCTTTCTGGTCTACTTGGGCGCTCGCTATTATCGTGGGCTGTGTGATTGTGCTGCTAATAGTTATTGCTTGGGCCACGCGCTGGTTATGTGGTCGGAACAAACGAGGAGCCAGCACAAGGTATATTCAAGAGCCATATCCCGCCCAGGTCAGAAATCCAGGCTCCGCGTTTTGCCCATCTGCCCAGACAGCGACTGATATTACAGAAGGAAGCCGATGCCCATACTGTCCGTATACAACTTGCGATGCTGTAGCGTTGGTTGCTCATGTGCAAAGTGATCACGTTGTTAATGCGCCTGACCCGATTGCTGTGTTAGGTGGACGAAGGATGTTTGGCTTGGAACCGGCAATGGCAGTGGTGACATTGACATCCCGTTCGATTACTAATACGCCACCGAGAGGCGTGCAGAACTTTGCAGAAGATGAGAGACAAAAATGTCCGCATTGTCGTTTTATCGCATCTAACGCTGTTATTCTAGTTAACCACGTGCAGCATATGCACACACAGTTATAAATTATAGTAATTTGCACAGCACCAGAATAATTTGGTGCATACAGTCGAGTATCCTGTTGAGAAGCTAATACTTATAGTAGTAACAACCAGAGTGCATGAGTTTGTTTGTTCAAAATTGGTTGACAAAATACAGTCATGCTCTGGGTAAATTGCAATGCAGTACGACTTCAAGAAACAAATATTTGCACACATTTACGTCCCTGACGCCTCCTCCTACCTCTTTAACCTATAACTTCGCAAAAATCTACGTACTCAAGGTTCGCAGCCCATAATGATACAAGTAATCTCATCATTCGTAGTAATACTGTGCAGCTCGGCATGTTCGATACATCACTTCCGCACTTTTTTCTTTCTATGTCGAGTATTGTTGCTGCCGCTGCTGCGCCGGTGAATAGTGCCTCTTTTTCTCTGCTTTGTATCTCCATTCCAACGCTTTGCCCTCGTGAGAATAAGCAAAAAGGCTGGGATTGAAATCATAGCGATTGCTCTAGAAATCATGAAGGCTTTGGCAGCAACAGTTTCAGCAATAACAGCTAGCGCAGCTGATGCATACTTTTTTGTAGAGTCCGCAACCTCAATTGCTTTGTCTTCCATGTCGTGTAGCTGAACATCGCACAGTTGACGCCATTCATTAGACTCCTTAAACTGGTTGAACGTTGCGTCGATACTATCATCGTCTCCGGGTAGAAACACTGCCACACCATCATTTAGTCTTCCAACAAATGCCTCTGGTGTAAATTCTTCAATAGTTCCTTCAGATCTTGTCCATTGCTGGACCAAATATTCGCGCCAGTGGTTTGAGGACATCATACTTTTGACTGGAAAACGACTTGCTCTAACTTTGTAGAGAAACAGGAACACTGAATTGGTACAGTCATACACGCGGCCAGTCTTACCCTCCACATAGTGCTGGTACTGAGCGCGTTTGCCGTTGAGAGGGTCTAGAAACAAGTCAAGCACTGGCAAAGCGGCATCATCCAGTGCCTGCGCGTTATCCAAAACGAATAAATTGCGATCGGGGCAGGCGTCGAGTGGTGTAGCCAGAGCGACGCGTATCGTCTGCCTGATGTCAAAGTTGGAGGTTCGCGAAGACTCAAGCAGCTCCTGGAAATCGATGGACTGCACTGTCCGCGAAGACCGAGAAGCACCAAATAATGAAGATGCCACAGCACCACTTAAAGCGTGCAACACGTCACTAGAGTTGGAGAAAAGCACGAGTGCCAGCGGCTGGTGACGGTCAAAGTCATTTACCCCAAAGCGCTCTATCAGCGTTGATAGTGTAATAGGTGAAATGCTAGAGCCAAGACACTTTAGGATATGTGACTCGAGACGAGAGATCAAAACGTCGTGGGAGAAGTGGGCACATTGCTGCCCCGTGGAGAGTGGCAGCAGCAAAAGCAGCAGGTTGAGTGGTAGCAGCATACCGAGATGAATAGCTGTTGTTTATGGAAAATCGTAAATAAGGGAGAACATGCTTATTTGCAGAAGTGATAATTCTATTGCGTTCACCCATCCAAAATGACACTACAGGAATATATGGTCGAGGTAATAAAACCGAAATTAATTGTTTTATATGTACGTTTGCCCATGCAGTCTTATACTTACGCCATCAGGAGTGCGCTTCATGCGCATAGTTGATCAGTAGCTTCCAGTTGGCAAATGTATGGTCTTTGGACCTGGTCAAGTGGCAGCTATCCACAAAGTCGGCCTCTGCGTCGAACTACAACAGAAACGTCTGATCTTATGGTTCTGATTGAGTGCCTCATAGCTCATCATGTGCTGTACTGCAGTCCTGTACGCTGCAAACTTTTTGAATGTCCCGAGTGCAATTTTGCACACAAATGGGTCGTGAATGGTCTACAGAAGCCGTTAAGTTTAATGCGTTACAGCGAAGAATGTAACATTTGGTACCATTGTCGAACTGGGTCATGATCGTACCGTAAAACCCCTTGTTAATGTTTTTCTACTCAATGCCGGCCACACCAGGTAAATACGAAATCTGTAAAAGGCGTCTACATTCACGTCAAGGCCAGTCTGTAGAGTCCTTTTCGGCGTGGAACAAATTCAATTGCTTTAAGTGGCTCGAATATTGGTGCGATAAAACCCCAGCACCTCAAATGCTAGCGGGAATAGTTGACCGGTTCTTGCTCAGACATGCTTGACGAGCAGAAATTCACAAATGAAAATAGTGCCAAGAGTCCGGCCAAAAGATGGCACAGTGCTTGCGAATTTCACGAATGTTGGATCACGAACAGAGACGTTATTAGCGAAGAGAAACAAGACGTTGTCAAAGTTAGTGTTAAAAGTGTTGTTCAGCGTGATTTTGGCTAAGAACCTCTGATCAATGATAGTTTTCACTGTCGCGTTCCGAAAAAGTGTCGATGATACTTGTCAAAGTTGCTCTTGTGCCTGGCGTTGCGTCCTTTACCAGACTACAACTTCCAGTTACGAGACAGCCTGATGCTGATCGATGCAAGCACACGTGACAAAGGCTTCGATTTGAGATGATGACGATACCGTTACGACTACCATTTTACCTAAAAGCTTTAGTGGGTTTGGATAGTCTGTGTCAGAGCATTCTCTTAAACAAGGCGCCATGAGTCCAACATTAGCAAACTCAGCGGAATTGTGCATGAAACATAGGGACAAAATCAAAACAGTTGAGTTGCATTACGCTAAATACCTTATCAGTGTCTTGTTTACCACCTCGCAATATTCAAAAACATTGTTTGAGTAAATCAGTTGCAAGAACAATCCAACTTCAGTGTACGTTGGCCGTATAAGTCACATAGTGCAACGCAGGCCCATAAACTTTGGATTTTTGCGAAACTTGTGTGATTAGTGTACGCGAAGAGCTAATCTGCTGGCGGCGCAGTATTTCTCTGGCTGGGCATATTTTCTCTACAATGATCTTGTCTACTGCAATGACAGCCCGTTGTATCGCACATCATTAGTAGCCTCGCGCATTATCCCTTCGAGGCGATCCGCTTCGTGCTGACATTCCTCACTGTTCAGCGCTTATGTCGCCACCATCATTTGTAATTGAGACAACAAAGCAGCACTATTATAAAAGGACCTCTAGCCCACAACAATGTGTATGAGTCAAAGGGATTCGTTTAAAGGAGCTGGAACAAAATCTACAGCTTTTAAAAACTCGGACATGTGACGAACAAGTGAAGTTTTCTCGTCGACTGTATCGCTACTAGCACGGCCGTTTTAGCTGCGTCACTTGTACTGGAAGATTCAAAATTTACCTTGTCTTGCGAAGCCTGTGTATTGCATTGATTCAATAGGGTCCTCATCCACGTTGCCTTCACTTGAAGTTTCTGACATCGCACTGCTTTCCTCTTTTCTTTCTCTCCTTCACGATGAGCAGTATCACATCATTTTGCCGTGCCAAAACTCGACGACTTATTCGTGGACTACAACTTTCTGCTTCGACCAGGCCTTAGACAGATTAGAATCAGTTGCCGGCATTGATGTTAAAGGTGTCGTAGAAACGAACAGACGCCCCAACGTTTTTTCGATGCCAACCTGTTCAAGAACCGACTCCCTATAAAGCTGCTAAAAAGTTTTCAACTTTACACGCACAAAGCGCCTCAGCACGTTTCTGTTCCTGTTCCAACAACTGCAATGTAATCTAACATTATTTCTTAGCTTCCCTTTTGTGAGCAGATCTTGCACAGGCCAGTCTTATTCTAGCACATTTTTTGGTATTTCTGTTGCAGTGGCTGCTGCATTTTCGTTTTGTCACTGTATTAGTTGATGATCAGCAAGCTTGGGTAAATTGATTTTCATTAACTTTTTTAAAAAAATCTACCTAACGTATTAGATGTTGATGATAAGTAAAAACAGTCTAGATCTAATTAGAATGACAACGAATCTAAATAGATGGGCCAAAGTAGGAGTACGACTTAGCTGAGAGTCGAGTCCAAAGAAGAGGTGGCACTTGTAAGGAGGGTGTATGCGGAAGAGCTGTGATGTACAGGCAAAAAATCCCTTGAAGCTTGAACGTGTAGAGGAAAGCAATGGAAGCGGGTGAGGGAAGTCGTTGCAGTGATGCTGGGTCGTACGCTTGAGGCAGGCAGCGTAGATAACCATAAGCATGAAGGGGGGGGGAGGAATCGATGTATCCATATAGTAGGAGCGAAAGCGAAATCTTCGACATATAGCCGGGGACGCACAAGACTAGAACACCCGGTCGCCGCGGATTGCGGGAGCGCGGCATTGGCGAGATAACGGATAGCATCTACCACATGGGAAGGTGTCCGTGAATCAGAGAGAAATAGACCACCCACATCCGTCCGTGCCAAATAAAGCAGAATAATATCGCTCCAAAGGGGGAACGGCGAGTGGCGGATACGCTTGGGGACAGCATGTCCGGGTAATAAAGCGGATACTTTGACAGGATCCACGTAAATCGCTGGTGCAAAGATCATCAAAAAGAAATCACAAGTCGCGCTAGAAAGATCCGCGAGCTTGCGTTCATCGGTACGAAAGAGACTGTCGAAGGTGCCTTCAACGTCCATAGGGTCAACTGCAAAACCCTTGGAAAGACGAGTGGCGGCGCTCCAAACCTCGCCCGGTTGAAGAGGCTCCGCGCTCACCGAGCGATAGGCCGCATGCCTCTTGAATAAGCGAGTCTGATGCTCCACAGGTAACTTGAATAGGCGACGAAAGTACGCCGGCTGGACTTGGACAGCGGCGAGGGCATCATCGTGAGAGGTGAACGACGACAATTCGCCAGCCAAGTACTCATCAATGAAGTGTTCGAGTTCACGAACCGAGACTTGCTCAACCCGTAAAGGCAACTTCCGTATGTTCATAAGAGAACGGATGGCCTTTGGAGTAGGCACAAGGTCGGAGTCCTCAGTAAAACCCGAAACCTGTTCGGTTAAGTCAGTAAATTCGTCCAGTTCAGACGGGTTAATATCCACATCAGGTGGCAGAGATGTGTCATAACCATCGTCGTAAAGGACGTCATACATTGTGGGCATAAGAAGAATGGAATAAAGTAGTGAATGGGGATCATCTGGGCCTTCATACAACCGGCACGGCACAGCACGTGGAGGTTCAAGATACTTAGGCCCGTCCTTAAAATTTCTCGATGAATGATCCCATACTGAGAGTGTTGAACCAGTTTCCACATAGGTTCGTCAGTAGCAACTGATCCCAAGATAAGGAGCCTGTCCTTGGTAGAGTCAGATGGAACAGCTGGTGGTGGTATAGCCCGTACCACTGACATAGCCGGGGACGGGCTCGAGGTAGGCAAGGAAACGGATGGAACAGAGTCCGCAGTGGACGGCAGCTCATCCGAAGTAGTGGCGCCGTCATCGCTACGCATAGTGGCGTCAGAGCGAGGTGACGAAGGGTGAACAGTCGGCCGGAGGGAAGGTGGCCGAACGCGGTTGAATCGTTGAAGCCGATGTTGAACAAAACATGGCTTTTCCCCCTCAAGAAAATGAATTTCCCTCAGTGGGTCGCCATTCGGCTCAAAGAGGGGGGGGGGGGGACAGAATGGAAATAGACTGTCCGTGACCTTGAGTTGAGTTCCCCAAAAACTTGGGTAGGCGTGATCAAGACCTGGCGTGCACCCCGGGCAACAAACCAGTCATACACCGCCAAGTCAGTAACATCAGCGGGTAAACGCTGCAGATCCACATAGTAAAGCTTGTCAAAGCTAGAGTACTTGCGAATAGTAACCGTGATTCCACCGATAGTAAGCTGCACTTCGCCAAGGCGGCGGAGAGCATCGTCTGACGTGCAAACGAAAAAGATACCATACCCAGGGATACGGTTGAAATCCTGAAGATGGGCGCGGGACTGGCGCCAGACAGATGGTTGGCTGTCAGCCGCAAGAGATTCAAGAATCTCGTGAATATTATGCTCGGCCGTTAAGCGACTGGCAAAAATCCACATGCGAGTACATAGCTCTGGCTTAACAGGGATAGGTAGTGACGCAAGAGCAGCAAAGCGACGGTCCATATCGGATGAGTGGACGGCATTGAGCCGATGAAGACTCGCCCGAAGAAAGGAGTCATCGGGAATAGAACATGGGGGTGAGGTGGGAGCCGCCCTAGAAGCCGTAGCCGCCTGCGAAGGCGTGCTAACGGGAGAAGTACGTGTGACTGCCATCCTCAAGTGAGGCGGTGACGTGCAAATAGGGGAGTGTTGCAACTGTAATTCGGATGCAAGAGCACCGAAACAAACTCAAGTCGAAAGTACCTCAATACCAGGACACAAAGTAGTCTGTGCAGCCTAGTAGCTTGCTAACAACGTAGCCTCAGTCAACAGGAAGTTAGCTGAAAGAGGATGATAGTAGATACTGCAGAACGGCCTAGCGTTCAACAATAACCACACTACGATGATAGTAGTTCTGCTAGATATAGACAACCCAGTCGATTACTTTCCGGGAACACTTA